GAGGAAGAGGAGGAGAAGGGAGAGGAGGATGAGGGAGAAGGAAAACGAGGAGGAGGAGGAGGAGGGAAGGAGGGCGGACAGGAGGAACTGACGGGACACATTCCCACTAATTTTCTGGCGAACCGAGGGACCGAGCTACATTATTGGGGCCATGCGGGGAGGTTTCAGAGCCCTCTTGGGGGTATCTTGGGGTCTGGTCCATCTTGGAGGACATCGACCACTAGAAGGGGGATACTTCTTCTGGACGCTTCGCGTAACTCCATCAGCCCATGCAGAGACGACGCTCAGACGAGTTGCCCTGAACAGGGATATGGAGGAGCATGTAGCATAACAAAGGGCTGGTAAGACGTCATATCCCAAGATGGGGGAGGATGGCGAAGGGAACGGGAGGAGGAGGAGGAGGAGGAGGAGGAGGAGAAGGAGGAGGAGGACCGTAGCCATTTTGGCTCAAGTCCGTAGCGTTTGCTCAGGACGAGAGTTTCTTTTGGCAAGGGGATCCGCGGCCCCACCTGCTCCACACCTCGGGACTGTATTGAGGTCTCATCCCTCACCGCCTTTGCGCACCTACGGCGTGTGTCGCACCCTCCGCGGGCGCGAGATGGCATATTGGCAGCAGTCTTGTTGGTGTTGTCCCAACAAACAGTGCAAGTTCAAGTATAATTATGAGTGGCGTGATCAATGCCTTCGGTGTGGCAAGGACAAAGGCGGCCCCAGCCAGCGCGTGGTCCAGCCTCGCGGGGTCTGGGCTGGTGGCGTCTCCCCTTCCGCGCGTGCGCCCAAGCCGAAGGGACCTCCGCCCCTCACCGACGAGCAGGTCCGTGCCTATGCCGCCATGGACCCCGCCGCGTATGAGGCCGTGGCGGGCACGCTCACCCAGTCGGCGCGGGACCGCATTTTGCACCAGAAGGGCCTCCTCTCGGGTGATCCGCAGCTGGTGTCGAGGGCAGCACAGAAGGAGAGTGACGTGCTCACGGATCGGCTCGGCAAAGTGCAGAAGAAGTTCGACAAGGCGCAGGCGAATCTGCAACGAGCTGTCCGCTGGGCAGCAGAAGTTGGTGCTGAGCTCGAGGAGCTCCAGCAGCAGCAGAAGGAGGCGGCCGCGCGCGGGGCAGCAGCTCTGGCGCGAGTGGGCGGCACGGCCGCCGCTGCGCCTTGCACGCCGCCTGGCCAGTGCGACGGGCTGCTCCAGCAGGCTAGGCTGCTCGGCGACACCGAGCTCGAGGCAAAGCTCACGGAGGTGGCGGCGCAGCTGGCGCACGCTCAGCAGGAGCTGCAGGCGAAGGCCGCGCAGGCCCAGCACCCCCCCCCCCCCCCCTGCGGCGCCCGCTGGCACCGCCCCGTCTGGCGGTGCCCAGCCTGGCGTCGCCAGCGCGGGCCTCCCCTCGGGATGCGGCCTCGCGGCAGCAGGGGCAGCGGGTGCAGGGCAGCATGCGCCGCCTGCTGCAGATACTGTGGGTGGTGCTGACCATGATGTGCGTGCCCGTGCATGGGCAAGCCGCAACGAGCAGAAGCTGCTCGAGGCCTGTGCCAGTGCAGTCGGCGACGACGATGACATGGACCTCGACGAAGGCGCCAAGCGGGCCATCAAGCAGCGGGCCATCGAGCTGTTCGGCCAGGCGCTCAAGAAGATGCGCTCCACCTACTACGTACCGCCGCAGTTGGGGTAGCCCGCAGCGCCGCCCGTTGACAGTTCTCACGGCGAATGTGACGAGCATGCTTGGGCTTGAGCTGCTCAGGCAATATGATGAATGGTGCGTTTGTGACCTGGCGTTTGTACAGGAGCACAAAGTACCGCAGCACCAGCGTGACGCGCAGGAGCAGGCGTTACGCAAGACAGGATGGAAGGCAGCCATCAATCCTGCCGTCCGTGCTGGCGCCGCCGATGGCGCCTCAGACAGCTTAGCGGGTCTATCTGGCGGCACCATGATAGCTACGCCTGCTCGCTATGGGCTCAGCCAGCTAGAGGGCCTCTCCCATTGCGTGTGCCCAGCCAGAGCCTCGTTGTTGCATCTGAGCCATGGGTCGAAAGGAGGTTTGCTGGTTGGTACCATGTACTTGCACGACTCCGAGGACCTCAGTGAAAGAAATTGGCGTATCCTCTGCGACATGGGTCAATCAGTCAAGAGCTCAGGCCTTCCATTCATCCTCAGTGCGGACTGGCAGGTGACGCCCGAGGAGCTCATGGAGATTGGCTGGGTGGCAGGCGTTGGTGGCGTCGTGGTGGCTCCCAAGCTGGGCACGGTCAGGCCGTCGGAGCGCGTCATCGACTATTTCGTGATGTCGCCCTTCCTGGCGGCAGGTGCTCAGCTGACAGTCCTAGAGCACATCGCGATCAGTCCGCATCGGGCAGTTCAGGTTCAGCTTCAGGTTCCACGTCGGGCCCCAGAAATTCGCGTCGTTCAGCAGCCGCGAAAGTTCCCAGTTCAAGCTCCCATCGGTTGTTGTAGGCAGTTCGAGGAGCCCGACTGGGAGCAGCTTGCAAACAACATGCGACAAGCCGATGCCGCTGTATACACAGCCTGGGTTGCCTTCATCGAGGCTGCGGAAGCCAAATGGTTGAATGGTTTCGATGTTGAGCCGCGGCAAGCCGAGTACTATCGAGGACGTGGAAGCGAACCTCAGCTGAGGACCCCTCAACCTCCGAGGCCATGTTCGGTACCCTTTCCGCAGATCAACGCCGAAGCTACCTGGTGGCGAGGATTGGCACATGCGCTGCTGGATTACGGCAACCTGCAGGGTGGCTGGGATGCTGTGACTCGTAGGCGCCGTCTCACCCGCCATTGCCGAGCCAGGTCTTTGCCGCGTCAGTGCCAGCTAGCGATCAATGTGGCTAGACTCGCCCTCCATAGCCTCCCTCTCTCCACACCCCACCTGCTTGTTTTAAGAACGCTTGCGCAGCAGCAAGCTGAGGTCGCTGTCCGAGCCAGCCAGCGAGCCAAGCAGCGGGGGTGGGAGGACTGGGTGAGCAAGCACAGTACTGAGCAAGGCGCGTCAGCTCTTTTCAGTTTCTCAAAGGCGCCTACAGGATGGACGCCAGACGACACGACAGTCGATCACGTCCCTTTAGGCTCAGCCGAGCAAATTGAGCAGCTCAGGGCTGAATGGGAGTCTTGGTGGTGCGTCTCAGAGCCCCACCCTGCGCTTCCCTGGCCAGATCTCTCCTTCCTCGAGCCCCCCCCCACCCTCGTCCGTCCGTCCCTGAGCTGCTAGCAGTCCTCAAAAGCTACAAGCCCACCACGGGCCAAGGTTATGATTGCATAAACCCGCGGCATTTCTTGCATTTGGGCCTCGAGGGCCTGGACACGCTTTGCGAGCTTTTGCATCTGGTTGAGCTGAGGCTTGACTGGCCCACGGCGTGGGTCAAAGTTTTCTTTTTGGCCAAACGTCTGGGCGGGTTTCGGCCGATTGCTCTCTTGCCTGTGCTCGCGAGGGTCTTGTGTCGCTTACGGAAGTCCGAGATCCAGGATTGGCTGAGAAGAAATTTCAGAAGTTTCTCTTGGGGGACCCGCGGCAAGGCCGCAGATAAGTGCGTCTGGGTGCAGGCCGCGTGGGCCGAGTGGGCTCATGGCCAAGGGATGGCGTCGGGGACGGTTTTGGTTGACCTGAAAAAGGCCTTTGAGCTCATTCGGCACCACCATCTCGTGGCCGCCGCAGAACGCATTGGTTTCCCGATGAGATTACTGTACCTCCTTATCAAGCTGTATCGTCAGCCGCGGATTTTAGACATGGGAACCTTTGTGTCGGGGCCCATTTTCTCAGAACAGAGTGTCCTGCCTGGCTGCGTGTTCGCAGCGATGATGTTACAGCTCGTCTTGCTACAGCCCCTAGATGAAGTGCGCAAGGTTGCTCGTGCGGTTTCACTCTCTACAGTTGTCGACGATATTGGTCTGCAGCGCTTCGGTGAAGAGGAGCGCGTCCATGCAGATCTCACTGCAGCAGGCTGCGAGCTAGCCCGTCAGTTGGAAAAAGTTGACTTGTTGGTGGCGAAAGATAAGACGCGTTTCATGAGTAGTGCAGCCCCTCTCAGGACGTCTTTAGAGGCCAGCCTAAAATGCTTGGGAGGGCAGCGCTCTCGCACTGAGAGGAACTTGGGGGTTGACTTCGGGTCTGGGCGGAGGTTGGGTCGCACCACTAAGCGAGAGCGCTTGGCTGCTGCCGTCGTCCGCTCGAGGCGTTTAAAGATTTTGCAAAAAGCTAAACGTCGCCGACTCATCGCTCGCATGGTCAAGGCCACCGTGGAAACCAGCGTTTCCTACGGCACCAGCGTCACTGGAACCAATGGGCAGGAGCTCCAGAGGCTTAGGCAGTTGGTAGGCAATCAGGGCCCCACCAGCTCCGCTTCCCTCACGCTCCGTCTCCTGCTCACCCCTGGAAGTCGGGTGGACCCTATTTTCAAGGCTTCCGCCGACCCGCTTTGTGCCATTCTGGCCGCGTGGAAGCAGCATTGGGTCCCCCAGCACATAATAACTCAGGGAATTCGGCAGGCCCAGCGACGAGCTCAATCTAGCAAAGGCAGTCCGTGGCAAAATGTTGCGGGGCCCTTCACGGCCTACCTGGCCACGCTCGATCGATTGGGTATTCTGACCGACGGGTTTAGTTATTGGACTTTCCCCTGGGGCCTCACTATGCAGCCGGCCACCTTTTGCGTCCATGGGCTAAGGAAGCTCATCGACTTGGCTTGTGAGGCCTGGCAGTGGAAGCAAATTTGTACCACGCTTGACTGCCCCGAGATGAAGTCAGGCGTTCTGCTCGAGCCAGTCCTCAGTCTGCTCGGTCGCTCTTCGCCGCTGTCGCCTGATGAAAAGGCCTATCTTCGGTCAGTCGTCATCGGTGCTCAGTGGACGCAGCAGCGCTTGTTCGAGGCCAAATATGTCCAATCCCCGCTCTGCTGCATCTGTCATAGCTTCTCTGGCACGTTGTATCACCGTCATCTGCTGTGTGACGGGTTGGTCTCTGCTGGTTTGCAGCCCGCAGGCCCTCTCCGTCGCGTCCTGCCGCAGGAACCCACAGAGCTCGTGAGCTTGCTTGGCAGCCGTGTGCATCTCCCGTTCGACAGGTTCCCGCAGCGGCCAGAGCCCGCGCCAGAGCAATTCTACCTGGGTGAGCGCAGTCTGCTCACTGGGGACTTATTTGTATATGGTTCCATGTTTGATCACGATGTGCCCGATGCTGCCGTAGCAGGTTGGGCTGTCATTGCAATGTTTCCTGACCCTCCTCCTCCGAGGGATCTCGACGAGTTTCGTGTGTCGGTCGTCTACGGAGGCGGAGTCGAGGGCCCGATTCAGTGCATCGATCGTGCTGAGTTGGTAGCGGTTTTGAACGCTCTCAGAGTTGCCATGCCGCCTGTCACCATCCACACTGACAGTGAATGTGTTTTCTCAGGCGTTGTAAAGCGTGGGCGTGAGGCATGCTGTGCTTTGCTCGCGGCCCATGCTGACGTCTGGGAGCTTCTCTGGACAAAGCTGGAGGACTGGGGTGGGGTGGGACCCGCTTCCGTCAGGTTTGTCAAGGTTAAGGCCCACCCCACCCCAGAGCAGCGCCGCTCTATCGACCCACGTCTCCTCGCGGGCAACAGGTTTGCCGACCAGTGGGCGAAGAAGATAGCTGCTCTGGGGCGCCTAGATTTCGAGCGTCGTGATCGGTGTCGGAAGTTTTCGAGGCTTGTGCGTGCGGTGGGAGAGCAGGTAGGCAGGGCCGCTCCCCTCGCGGCCGCCGACACCGAGCGCCTCACGGCGTCCCAGATGAAGGCGGCCCGCGCCGCGCGGCGCCAGGCCAGCGAGCTGGCCGCCGCCGCCGCCGCCGCCACCGCCGCCCTTGCCCCACCTCCGAGCGCCCCCCCCCCGTCGTGTCGTTCTCGCTGGGGGACACGCTCTGCGAAGGTGGGTCAGCGAGGAGCGTGGCGACAATTCGGGCGGAGTGGTCTGTGTTAGGTGTGGGGCTGTCTGCTCCACGCACGTTGTCAAGCTGGGCCAGGTCTGTGGGCGTCCCTCGGCCTGGGGCAAGAGGGTGCTCAGAGGCCTGGACCAGGGAAAGTGGCTGTTTCGGGGCCGCTGGATTTCGGTTCAGCTTGGGCCCCTGTCTCCAGAGAGCTCGGAGGTGAGCTGATCCCGAGCTGTGCACAGCGGTAGGGGGCAGGCTCACTGACCCCCCGTTGTTTGTCAATCTGCGTCGCAGAAGGAGGAGGAGGATGAGTAGGAGGAGGAGGAGGAGGGAGAGGGGGACGGGAACGAGGGGGGCGGAAGGAGGAAGGATACGAGAATGAGGAAGAGCAGAAGGAAGAGGGCGAGCAGAAAGGCCATAATACTCTTGTGTTCCTCTCGGAGTCTCTTCGTACTTCTCCCGAGTGTTTCTTGGAGTCCTCTTGGGGTGTATTGGGGGTCTCTTGGCAGTTCCAGGAGCGTCTTGTGGCATCGTGGGTGCCTTTGGGAAGCCTCTAGGGGCCTCCTGTTGGGAGCCTTTTTGGGGGCATCTTGGTGGCCTCTTGGGGGCCCCCTGGGACCTGCTGGGCACCTCTCTCGGGGCACTCTTAGGAGCCTCGGGGGTCATCTTGGGAGAGATCGATCCAAGGAGGGGCCTTAGTACATGAGAACGTTTTCCCTCTGGAGGGCAAAGTGTGGCCAGCACGTCGGTAATATCAATGCTTTGGGCTCTTTTGCCGAGGCCGTCTTGGACGCTCTAACGACCCGCGCCCTCCCCCCCCGTCCAGGTCCAGTGGCAGGGGGGAGGGGGTGGGGACGACACCATCATGCCTGAAGCCCCAGATGCAGGAGCCTCCGAAGTATCTCGAGGGGCCTCAGGTCGGCTGCAACTGCTATCGATGGTTTCCATCCCCGCCGCTACCGTTTTTCTGCCGTCTGGAAGCCTGCAGGTGTTGCCTTGTTTTGCCTGCAAGCAACAGGAGGTCAGGCACCAGCTGGCATCCAGGTTCTGCTAGCGCAGCTCTACTAGAAGCCCGCGTCTGGAAGAAAGCCGACAGGGCTTTCCTGTTCACACATACTCCAGGTTGTATCCAACGATAGCCGCCAAGCGTTGCAAGGAGTGAAAAGGGTAGCCTGGAGGACGGGGGGGCGTTCAGCATGGCGCCGGCGAGGAACACTTTGGATGGTATTTGAAGGCAGGCTGTTCGCACGGCACTAGCAGATGATACGGGGGACAAAGGTAGGAACGCGATTTGATGACCTCAAGCAGTGCCACGAGCACGTGAAGCACGTGGGCTTGTGACGCGGGTGCGGCCTCTGTGGTTGTCCGTTGCATGTCCACCGCTGTTCCATTCAGTCGCACCGCTGCCCAGGGTCGTCATAACGGAGAATCTGCGCCACGTGTGATACTAAATGGTGACATGGCTCCCGTGGTCCAGGGCATCCCCAGCACGTATGGATATCAGCAGTTTTATGTTTCGTGTTGGTGGTGTGAAAGTAGATGGGCATCACCAATCAACCATTGACTGTTCGGATTTCATTGCGAAGTTGGTAAGGTGCTTGTTCGAGAATGCTGCATTCCGCGAGGGCTGCCCATAGCTCTGAAGCAGTGGTGCTCTACTTCGAACACCAGAGAGCTGATATATCCAGGCCAGGAGGTATTTGGAAAGTGCGCCCACTCGTTGACAGCTGAGGTTGTGAACTTAGGTGTTGACTTCTCGGTGGGCGGCAAGACCAGCTCGTTCCCGAACGCGAGCCACTGCTCGAAGGGAACTCCCGGGGGCACTAAAAAAACTCCCACATTGACCAAACGGAAGACTCGTGGAAGTAAAGTCCGAAGGAGGACACCCACAATCAGAAGCCTTCCTGGCAAAGCGCGCGCAACAACTAACCTGTTTCTCGTTGGCCAGAAGCCCAGCATGACGCATGGAAGCGAGGCAGATGCCCTGAACCCCACGGAGATCCAGAATTTGAGGGCCATGGGTGCGCAATCTCTGGACATCTGGGCCCCTCGCGCCCCCATGCACGTCTTGTGGGCCCTTCCCCTTGACAAGGGCCCGATTGCACATGCCGGTGGTGCGGTTGTACGATATGCCAGGGAATGGTAGAGGGCCACGGATCCCGCGTTGCGAACCAATGGCAGTCTCAGCGCAAGCTCCCTCACCGAAGCTTTTCACCCGTGTTTGACAGCTGTTGCCGAGCCGCCACCGTCTTTGGGTCGGAGGCGCAGAGGCACCCGCCTTATTTTGGACGCGCACTAATGAGACGCATAGGCGGGCTGGCAGTTCAAGAATCAGGCCTTCTTCGCGTCCGCGGAGCGGGCCCCCGTCAATTTAACGGCCTCGACGCCAGTTCTGATCAAGACGATTCGCAGGTTGGACTGCAGGAAAAAAAGAGAGATGCCTCCAGGACTCGGCCTCTCAGAAGCTGCCGGGCGCCAACCACCCTGGGGTCAGGGACATTCTGGACCGAGGCATGCAGGCCAAAACCTGTTCGTTTCAAGCTGCGATCGAAGCGCATGGGGCCGGGGCGAAGGAGGAGGCCCCAGGTCAAACGCATTATGTCGGGCTTATGCCACTGCTGCTTCGTTTTTTTTTTTGCGTTGCTCAAGCTGCGATGTTTCCCCTCTCATGCACGTTCTGCCAAAGGTTCGACGTTGTCTCCCGCGGGATCTGGAGTTGCCCCCGCGGCGAGGAGGTGCGCGGAGAGATCGACGGCCGCCTGATCGAGGGGGCGCTCGGGTTCGCTGTGGGCCATGGGGGATCTCGCGCAGCATTTCGACCAGTCGGGCCCCGTGGGCCCGCTCAATTTTGAGCACGGGGCCCGCGCGCGCATTGAAAGTTCGGCCCTGGATCCCGAGGTTAGCGTCTGCGCCAGAGGGGTCGGGCGTCCGCGGGGATCACTCTTGAATGGGGACGCGGCGAGTTGCGCGATGGGGCCCGCTCCGCGCGACCCCCCCCCCCCCCCCCCAAACCGCAGCGCTAGCTGAACTTCGCGGGCGCATGCGCGCTGTCGAGCACTCGGACATCCCGAGCTCAGGCCCGAAGAGGCGGTTGGGGGTGGACTTGTTGCACGTCGACCGCGCGGTGCCCCCAGGGCGCGGCCGAAGCTTCCAAGGGGCGGGCGGCCCAGTCGAGCCACTCGCAGAGGATCAAGGCCAAGCCCAGAGGCGTCGTTGGAATATCCCCAGTGCGGAAGCCCGTCTGAGTTAGGACGACTCTGTAGGACAGGCCGCGTGGAAGTCCAGGGGGAATACATAGGCGGATGCCCATGGTTATGCAAAGGTGGTTGCCAATAAGCACAGGTCTCAAGTTGATGCTGAGGCCATCGTCGCCGCCATACGCTTGTGGAAGTTGCGGATGCTGCTTGAACTGTCTCGGAGGCTTGGCCCCGTGCGCGAGATCTGCTTGGGGGCCCAGGGAGAGCCTCAAGGTTTCCTCGCCCCCCCGCTCCTGGATCGGGCTCTCTCATTATCTTCATCAGTAGGCTCCCGGTGACAATGCAGGCATTGTGTTCGTGCGTTTGTGAATCCCAAGAACGCGGAGACGTCTGATTGCAGGCCATTCACGCCCGCGCTTCGCAGTTTGTTGCGCCCCGCCTGAGCCCGTCGACCCCCGCGTCAGCTCAGGGTTGCTCGCGCTTTGCGACAGGGCAGGGAGTTTTATATTGTGTAACAGGCGCGGCAGCCACGCCACTGGCAGGCCAGGCGTTCTGGCCCGCGGCTGCAGAGGCACTGTTCGCAAACCGAGGCAATCAAACGTGATTCGGAAGGGTCGTCTCCATTGGCCCCGCGGGGCCATCTGCAAGGGTCCCCTTTTTGGGGCTCGCGCGCCAGAGTCGCGGGGAAACCTGTTCACGAGCAGACTGACGCATTGAGCCCCGCCATGGCAGGGGTTCCTGCGCAGTCTATATTCCTTTCCATGTTGACGCGGTTTTCCCGAGGCGCACCTTGCTCTCACCCTCCAGTTGCTCTACGAGTGCCGCGACGGGGCTGCCCTACTTAGGCAAACAAAAAACATGTTCCCCGCCCGCAAGCTGTCTCGTGCATCCCCGCCCGCCTTCCCAATGCATAAGTAGCACCCGAACTGCAGCGAGATCAGCGGTAGTCTTTGGATGGACTGGCGATGGAAACTTTTAAAGACCCCATGCGCACAACGCGGGGGCGACGCGCGCAACGCGCGCCAGGTGCGCCAGGCACCCCTGTGGCGCAAGCGTGCTGGGACGCCTGGTGCGCCAGCTGCGCCGCGTGATCCACGTGCGCCGTGTGCGCCGCATGCTCCAGCCGCGCCAGGTGCGCAACGTTCGGGGCACAGGTGCGCCCGCGCACGGGAAACGCGTCGGCCCCCACCACCCTTGTCCCAAACCAGTTCGCTACCGCAGCGGGGTAACCATCATAGCGTCCGGTTGGCCTGCACATAGCAGGCATTATGCCAGCACCCCCGCCGCCCCAGTCAACAACCAAAGCGCAGTGACCGCCAGGTGCCCGCGCATGATCCACATTTTGCTTCGAAGTGCATGTTGACTCGTTTGAAAGATGCTGGCCCTGCGCGCAGCAGGCAATATGCGGGCACCCCCATCGCTCCTCTCAAGAAACAATGCGATGTGTTGGCGCACCTCCCAACATGACCCGAGATCTTGGCCCAAAGTGGATCTCGCATTGTTTTTGTGACGGATGGTGGGGGGTGGGTAGGTCTCATTGGTCCTGGTTGGTTGCCGGTTGCCTGGGGGCGGAGGTGTTCATGTGCATTTGTAGGGGGCAGTGATAAACCTTTTCCCGATGGGGAAGAAATCGCTCTCGCAAAACCACTCAAGACCTGACGGGCTGGTGTGAT